ACACACTGGGGTCTGCTCAGAAGGGAGGACTCTTTATCCAGGTCTTCCCAGGCTAGCTCCCTGCCTCTTCACTTTGGTTGGAGGACAACCCTATAGTCATCCACACTGAGTCCTTTGAGCCTGAAGGGGTGCTGGATAGCTTCCCTGGGGCAGCACCTTGCCCTGGGACTGGCCTTTTGACCCCTTCCAGGGGCTGCAGGAGACCCCTTCCAGGGGCTGCAGGAGACCCCTTCCAGGGGCTGCAGGTGACCCCTTCCAGGGGCTGCAGGTGTGGCCTGGCCTGGCAGCTGCTCGCCTTGACCTGATGGCTGTCACCTAGTACTCAGGGTGTGCAGCAGGACCCATGCTTGCTCCACCAACAAGGGTGGGGACTCAGCACCTACAGGGCCAGTCTTGACATCAGGGACGGAGCTGACGGACCACTGCTTCCTCTTCCTTCCCAAGCCAGAGCCTGGTGACTGAACAGTACAGCCATCATCATCTTTCCTGTCTTTCCTGCTCCCTGAGCAGCCCCCAGCCATCACTCCCACTATCGGGGGTCTTGATGCCAGTTTTCCTTTAGGGGTCCTGGACTAAGCTGCTTTGCAGTTAAGTTCCTCAAAAAGCAACCAGGTGCAAACTCACTCCACCTCCAGTCACAGAAGGCCCAGCGATGGCCTTCTCTGGAGGACCCTTCTTCGGGATGCTGGCTCTCGCCCGCAGTCTCCCGTGGCTCCACTTTTCCTGAGACTTCCCTGCCTCCAGGGGCCCTGATCTCTATTCTTCTTACCCTCTACCTGTTCCATATCTGGTTTACCTCCACCATGACTGTGGCTGCCTCCTCTATGCTGATGACCCCCATGTTATCTCAAAAAATGACCAAACCGCAACAAAAATAGCTTTGGATGAGATCTGTCCAGTCAAGGTCACCTCCAGGTTCTCAGTGGTCCAAGGCTYGCCTGGGCAAGAGGAGGCAGGTGAGGGTTCGTAACCAGCTGTTTCTTGTCTCTGACTACTTCCTGGTCGAGCCGTCCCTGTTGCAGCAGGTCTGAGAAGGAAGCTTTGAGCGGCAGGTGAAAGATGCAGAGGAAGAAGGCAGGCTCAGGGCGAGACAGGCCCTGAACTACCCTCCCCCCGCGGATCCCAAGTCAGGCTCCTCACCTGTAGTGCAGCCGGCTTCACGGATTCTCTCAGCACCCACCCTGCTGTTCCCTTAGTTAACTTCCTGTCCTTTGGGATATTTAAAAATGGCTACAAACTAATACCAGATGAACAAATAGGAAACAATGATCTTTCGTCATTTTCAGAAGAAACCACTGGGAACATTTTGATTACTTTTTCTCATCTTTTTTTTGTTTTAATTTATAAAAATTATATTGCATAATGTTTTGTAGTCTTCCTGTTTCCTTACAACTGTAAAATTAACTTTTTTCCAAGATAGAAAATCCCATAGTTGTATGTTCATTCCAACCCCCCGCCTTTTTTTCTGTGAAACATTAAGTTTAATGTTTATCAACATCCATATTTATTAGGATCAAGTTATGGAAGTGGAATCACTATGTGAAAGAATACGCAAAATTTTAAGGTTTTATTTGTGCTTGCAGTTAAGTAACCATCCAGAAGTTCCTCTCAGTTGACACTCAGTTCATGTGCAATGATGCTTATTTCTTCACATTGAAAGCCTTGCATTTCTCCTGTTATTAGGGAAGAGAACATTCTGACATGTTTATTGGGTGTTGTGTTTTCTCAGTCCTTGTCTCTGTCTTGCTTTTGGAATGCACGTTTTTGTCTGAGCATCGAAAGCTCTTTCCTGTAAAGGAGATTAGCTTTATGAAACAGGCACACACTATCCCACTTTTAATTTTATCCATGTTCTGATGCACAAACAGTTCCTCCTTCCTCTTCAAAGTGGGTCACTATTGCTTTCTCCTGGTAAAATCTCCCTGCACAGGCACAACTGTTAGAGTCAAGGAGATCAGACAGGTGTTCACCTGTGTGACCTATACTCCAGTCCAGATGTGCATCATTCCCTTCCCTCCAGGAAGTTCTTGGTGCCCCAGTCAACCCTCTGCTCATCCATCCCAAGGAAGAACCCCTTCTGATCTCTGCCCTGCACAGATAGTTGCTGGCTCGAGTTTCATGCTAATGGTCATAAAATGTCTCTTTCAGCCAACTTCATTATGATGCTGACATTCATCCACTGGTCATAGTTCATTCTTTTTTATYGCTAAATAGTATTCCCTTATATTCCACAATCAGGAATTATCCAATTTCCTGTTGATTGTACCCAACATTTTAATTCATGGTCATATTATCAATATTTCCATTTATGATTGTTGATGGCATTCTCCATTCCATAACTCTTATAGAAACATCCACTAAGTTTTTCCTTAGTACATTTAACATTTAAAGTTTCATTTAATTTGATAAGGTACAAATTCAGTGTTATTCTTTGCTCTTCAAATGATTAGCACATACTCTCTCGAATTGTGTTATGATTTGAACTCATCTTTTTGCATTTTAAGTCATTACTGGGGTGATATTAAAAAATACTGAACAATTGGTGCTGCACAGGCAAGGACCAGTCTGGATCAGGCCGGGCGATAGCTAGGACAGCGGAGCACACACAGGCATGGTGGATGTCAGCCTGTTTTCATATTGGAGTTTAGATAATATGTTTTCTGAGTTTTCCTTCATTACTTTTCTTTTTGACTGTTCTCAAATGTTTATTCTTCCAGATGACACTGTCAATGATTTTGTCAATTCCCAAGTTTTACTGGGACTCGGAGTTACATTTATATTTAAGGTGTTTTCTGGCTAATGTGGTTGGGCTATTCTATCATGTGTCCTAATGCATACACTCAGCTCAGTGCCTATTACATAGTCAGTGCTCAATGCTACTGTTAGTGTATCTAAGTAATTGCTTTTTCTGTATTTTATCATTAGTCACTGGCCGGACTTCTACCAATTCTAGATTTTGAGTCTTTGAGGATGTCTTCATTTCTAGGGATTGGTTTCTTCCGCCACTGGGGCTTGTTTTTTTTTTCAGATTGGGATTCTCCTTAAATGCTTTCGGTGAAGCCCCAAGTGGATGTTCCCTAGTGTTGGGAACATTCCTCCTTCCCTGTTTGCTCTGTTCAATGCTCCACCTGCACAGCTAAGGACCTTTCTTTCATTGTACATAACTCTCCTGAGCACTTTTGTTTTTACCAGCGAGGACAAGCATTGTTCTGACAGCCACCAGCCCCCAAGCTTCCCTGGTGCAGAAAAGGCAAGCCGGATTCTGGCACTGGTTACCCTGATGCTCCCCAGGGCCTCTCTCTCCTGGAGCTCAGGACTCCCAGTGAGGTCCAACTGGTACAAAGCAATGAGAGTGCTTATTCTCTGAATTGGAGTCTACCTTTTAAAATCAATCCCATGTAGGATTATACACCAGAACCTTCTGATAAGACTTTTTTTCAGGCATATGTCTCCCACTTGTACTTGTAAAATCAATATTAAGAGATGTTTATATGCCAGACTTCTATTGTAATATTATTGCACGTTTTAAATAATCCTGTCAAATGATTTTGTCATCTAAACGCTGCTGGCTGCCGACGCTGCTTCACTCCATGAGTAGGTGACAGTGCGCCTTCTCCCCGGGCGTGACGACCTCTGTGGTGGGCATTTCTCCACCCTCGGCTCGGAGGCTTTCTTACCACGAGCAAAGCCCCGAGATGGTCACTTGGGGGCAGTTACAGTAAAGGAGAGCTGTATTTGTGCCACACAACTACAGCTTTCTCGTGGGGCCACGAGGCCTACCGACTGCGCAGAGGCCGGGGCCCGGCACCAGGGCCCCTGTCGCGGAGGCCAGGCACCGCACGGCCCGGGGGCTCCCCGCCAGAAGGCGGGTTCCGGTCACTCGCTCTGGGCGACTGCGGCCCAAGCCGCCAGGAGAGCGCCCGGATCACGCCCCCCCGCGCGCCGCGGTAACCTCAGGCGCTGGGCCCCGGCCTGCAGAGGGCCGTAGCGCTGCCTCGAAGCGCGCTCCCGGACCTCGGGAACGCGGCGACGGCCAAGCGAGGCCAGCCCGCGCCTGCCCGGCCSGCGTTCCCGCTCCGGTCCCAGCCCCGCCAAACAGCCCGGCCGCACCCCGGGCCCTGCGGCCGCCCCGAGGCAGGGCGGGGCCGCCGCGCCTGCGCACTCGCCCCGGTCCCTGCGTCCCCGGCACGGAGCCCACGTGACCTGCGCCCGTGCCCAAGATGGAGGCTGCGGCAGGGCCTGGCCAGCCCCCTGCCTCAGCCCGCGGGTCTCTGCGCCCCCTCCGAGCGCTAGCCAGCTGCGTGGGCGCGCGGTTCTAATCAGTGGCAGCGCTGCAGGCTGCCAACTGAGGTTGGCTACGGCKGAGGCCCGATTTCCAGTCAGTATCCGCCCCGGCTCCCTCCGCTTTCTACATWGCGAAGCGCCCGGCACTGGCGCCTGGAGCGTCCTCCGGTACGCCCCGCCCCCAGAAATTGACAGCGCCGGGAGCCAATGGGGTCGTGGATGTGTGCGGAAAGGCGGGCAGAGGTGGAGCCTCTGTACGGGGATCGGGGCTTGGGGCCGACGGTTGGGCTGACGCAGGGCGGGCACAGGCCCCGCTGACCAATGGAAGGGCGTCAGGGTGCCCGGGGGCTGGGCCGAGCCGTAATTGACGCGCTCTTCATCAGAAACCGGGAGGGGGCGGGGCCCGCGAGGGGAGGTGACGCAAAGCCGCCGCAGCCAATGGCTGGCGGGCCGCCGGCGGGAGGGGCGGGGCTGGGGCGACTGACAGGCGTCGGGCGCGGCCTATCCCCGCGCGGCTCGGTGCTGGAGGGGGGAGCAGCATCATGGTTCAACGTGGGTCAATTTTTTGTGAATGAGGAGGGGAGGTTGTGGGGCCGCCGCCGCGGAGCACGGTCCCCGCCGCCGCCCGAGCCCGAGCCCGTGCGCCCGCCCGCGCCCTCCCGCCCGCCCGCTCCGCGCGCCCGCGTCGCCGTCGCCGCCCGAGCCGCCCGCCCGCCCGCCGGCGGTGGCGGCGCAGGCTGAGGAGATGCGGCTCTCAGCGCCCGAGCGGGGCTAGAGGCGGCCGCCGCCGGTAAGCAGCGCCGCGCACGCCCGCCGCGGCAGGTGGACGCCGCCCCGCGGCCGGCCTGGGCCCGCGCGCCGCGGGCGGGGCGGCCTGCGCGGCCAGCGGCGCAGGTGGGCGCGGGCGGGCGGGCGGGGGCGCCGGCCCAGCGTTTATGTAACTTTGTCAGACGGACGTGTGAGTTTGCGGAAAACGCCCCTCGGTGCCGGGGCGGGGGCCGCGGCTCGGCCCGGCCGCCCGCGGGACCCGCGGCGTTGCGAAACGCGCGGCGCCGGTGTTTACGGGGACGCGGGTGTGTGTGTGGCCCCGGAGCGGGAGCCCGCGCGTGCGGGTCGGGAAGGCCGGGGGTGGGCCCGTGCACTCCTTAATGCACGTCGAAAATTTGTAATAACTTGCAGCCGCTGATAGGAGTGTTCTCTTTATTGCATGCTGTAAATTGACCTGCTGTGACACAATTTTCAAATAAAGCGTTGCAGAAATTAAACTTAAGTTATTTTAGAACTAATGACTTTCTTAACTAAATCCTAATTGCATTACTGTAGAGACCTACCTAATTGCTTGCTGAGAGCAGCTCTGCCTGCTCGGGGAGGGAGGAAAGGCCTGTGTAGTCACTTTGCCTGCCCGCTTTCCTCCAGTCAGGCTTTTCCGCCGGTTCCCACAAACCACCTAAGCGTTTAAGGCCTGGGAGTAAACCTGAGTACAGCCTGGCCCGGGAGTCCGGGGGGATGCTGGCGGCTTGCACCCTGACCTGGTTTCGCTTTTTCTTCGGTAATAAGATCGTGGTTGCCTGGAGTTCTAATTGCTTCTGATGATTCCGTGCATTATTTTAGGGACGGCCTAATGAAAGCTGGTGTGGTGGCTTCAGAATCCAGCCAGGAAAGGTGGTGGTGGTGATGGTGGTGGTTGGGGAGAGGCAGGGAGATTGAATTAAGAAAACTCAGCTGCTAGTACACAAATATACACTATAGCAGTTACAAGGCAACAAAAGTTATTGCAGAATCTTGCAGTCACTATGGCAACACGATTACTCTATTATAATTGGAAATGCAAAATGCCACCCAGTTAGAAGTTTCATCAGAATGGAGTTCTGGATATCAAAAATATGTGAGATTTAATTTTTTTCAGGTAGCTCCTGTGAATTCTAGTCTGGGTTCAGCTATCTATTTTTAAGACTGATCAGCTTTCCCAGATATTCTCCTCCCTGGTATCTGTGGCATCTTTCCCCAGAAGAACTCCGGTTTGTGTGGGAGGGAAGTATTTTCATGCCTTAAAAACACACACCCTGACACAGTGTAAGACTTCTATAGCTTTCTGTGTTCTGGGTTTTTCTTTGGGAGATCAAATACCTTCCTAAAGAGAGCAGTAATCAATCAGAAAGAGGCAGGGTTTGCTGGGCAGGAGGATGGAGCACTGCCCTCTTAGGGTTTTTGCTTTCTCCTACAAGGGAGCTGGTGGCAGAGTGCCCCTGGGGATCCTGGAGGGGCTTGGAGGGAAGATGGCTGGACTGCACAGAGGCCTGGAAGGCCTAGGGACCAAGGACAGATGTGGCCAAAGCAGCCCTCGTCAGGGAGAATGTTCTGTGGTCAGCAGCTTCTCAGCCATGCAAAATAAAAAGCCCCAGATGCCACGTTCGCAGAGGCTGTTGCTCTACAAGGTGGACAAGACAACATGGCACCCTGGCCGTGTTCAGCTCCAGCAGCCAGGCCTGTGAGCATTCAGGGTGTCCTCCCGGTGCTTGCCAGAAGGACTCCAGTGCTGGAAGTTTCCACACATTGTGGGGCTGCTGCAGTTTAATTTTGTTATAACTCTTTCCTTTTAACTACTGCATATTTATGCCCAGTAATCGACTTCCATTTTCCAGCTTCATTGTGAGGTTTCAATGCAGCATGAATGGCTTTGAATTCCGATCCTTTGATGTTGGGGGTGGCACCAAAGGAAAGGCGACTTTGTGCCGTCTTAATTGCCGGAGCAGAAGATTTCATGGCTCCTGTAGAACTCATCCATGCTGTTCTCTATTGAAAACGGCTGGGTCTCCTGGCTCTGGAGCTGCCTGAGCAGTGCTACTACCTGATGTAGGGAGTGGGGAGATGGGGGGCGAGGGATAGCTGCTGCTGCGAGCTGGGGGCTCTCACTCTTCAGACCAGAGTCCTTGGCCGGGGAGAGAGAGTGCCCGTTTGTAGGGGCCCCCAGTCTGGGGGGGGGTCTGGGAAGATAGTTTTAGAGGGGCTTTTATTTTTGGTGTCTGGTGGCCAGCATGTGTCTTGCAGCATAATGGCTCCGGGCATTTGGCCTTGATCTAGAGCAGGGAGCAGTACCTTGTGGTTCAAGTCAGGTGAAAGCCCGTGTGTAGTGCTGCCACACTTGAGTCAATCTGTGGGGAATGAGGGCCACAGAGCCTGCTCATTTGTGTTCCCGTCAGAGGTCAGTGTCTGCTCTCAGGCCCTGCTTAGGGGTGGCCCGTGGCTGTGTATCTCCCTGCCTCCACCTCCTCATTTCCTGGAAGGCAGGTGGCCTCCACTGCGACCCTCCATCTAATTCCACCTAACTGTGGGTTAGGGTTAGGGAACTCTCTTTAGTCTTTCCTGGGGCAGGGAAGTGATAATACTAGTGCTTGTCACACAAATCAGTAGCTAGCACTAATGAGCACCTAATTGAGGCCGCATGGTGTTGTTTTAAGCATTTGCCATCCAAGTCTTTTTATTGCTGCCCATGGTCATGAGAGGTGGGCACGGCTGTGACCAGTGTGAGAGGAGAAGCCTGACAGAAGCTTAGAGTGGAATCCTGGTACTCCTCGCTGTGTTAAGTCCCAATGGTGAACCACCTCTCCTCCTGCCCCTGCTTCTGGGCCAGAGGTGGTCTTGAGTGTTGTTGAGATGTGGGGGCAAGAATGGCCTCTTTGAGAAGATGGTTTGGAATGGCTTTTGGCTGCCCTGGAGCTATCATGGCTAACCCTGTTTCATAGGGTCTGAGAAGTCATTTTGGCTTTCCCGCACTCTTAGGTTAGACTCAGGTGGCCTAGGACTGGAAGGTGTCTTAGCGGTGTAGGCTGGTGGTGCAGAGCAGTGGTGGGGCACTTGTGTGGAGCTGATTCATCCCTAGCAAAAACAAACAACCTCCCAAGCCCCTTAAACCCAGGCCACCCAGAGGCGGTTGTGTTCCACCTCGGATCTCTTCCTGAGAAGCCCCCAGGCTGTCTCCGGGAAGTGGGGGCAGAAGGTGGCTGGTGCTTCTCATCCATTTTCACCTGAGAGGCTTAGTTTGCTGATTCTTCTGTCAATTACCTTGGAGGATTTTATTGAAAAATAACACATTTAAAGGCCAAAAAGTTTGAAAAACTACTGATTAATCTATTCTTATCCTAAAACCCAACCAGAAGACTTAAGAGAAAATAACAACAGAGTTAACATATAATTAAAACAAACAAACAACTGTCCACCGGGGCTGTAGCACAGTGGTAGTAGCACAGTGGTAGAATGCTTGCCTAGGATGTGTGAGGCCCTGGGTTCCATCCCGGCAAACAAAGGGAAGCAAAACCAAGCCTGTGTGGCAGAAGGCTTCCTGAAAGCAAGGTTCAGAGGTAATGAGAGAGAAAATAGGCAACCTGTTACGCCTTTATGACTCCCATAGTAAGGAAAGCGCCTTCGTAGACCAGTGTGGAAGGGGAGCAGAGGTAGATGCGCACTCTCCAGGGCTGACAGGAGAAGGCTGGCCTCTCCCGGGTCAGTCCTCTTCCACACGGGGCTCCTCGGGTTGAATAAGTCACTGTAGGGCAGTTGCTTTGAATAGGATCTAGCACATGGTAAGCTCAGGAGTGTTGGTTGTTTAATATTACTTGCTCTCTGGAGAGACTTGTGTATATTGTTATGTAAAGTATAATAATCACCTGAGTGCTGTCTGTAAAATTTTCTTTTTTGGTAGTGGGGATTGAGCTCAGGGGCACTGGAATACTGAGCCACATCCCCAGCCCCATTTTGTATTTTATTTAGAGACAGGGTCTCACTGAGTTGCTTAGCACATCGCCATTGCTGAGGCTGGCTTTGAACTTGAGATTCTCCTGTCTTAGCGTCCTGAGCTGCTGGGATTAACCGTAGTTTTATGTTACATTTTTAAATGGTAGTTCTCTCCTCCCAGCAGCTCTGCATTTTGAACTTATTCTAATGGGAGAGTGTAATAAATGCATAGACACCTCGTATGTGCAGGATATAGGCCAGACCTTTTATAGAAGCGATGCTTGACGAACATGCTTGACGTCACTGTGCTATGGAGTCCCCCGGGCACAGACGGGCAGACGATGCAGGTGTTAGGAAAAAAATAGTGGTCCAGCACAGTCTGCATCCAGGCCTCCTGGTTGTAAGTCCTCGGGTCTCTGATGTGATAATGTGGCCCTTTGGGGTTTCAGGGAAATAGGCCATAAGGGACTTTCACTGTCTTTTTATATATTTATATTGTATACAGTTTTTTTTGTAGTAAGCACGTATTACTTTTTAATAATGATAATAGTTTTAAAAATTGATATTTTCTTTGGGGGGAAGTATGTTTCATCCCCATTATTTACAAAAGAGAAACCAATTTGTTGCATTTAAATTGTTAGTGTTAGAAGAATCCCAAGGGTGTTTGTTGCTGAGTCCCTCATGAACTCTCCGAGGTGGGGGCTGTCCTCCTGGGTATGGGCTGCTCTGGCATAGTTCATGCAAAAATGTTTCCTAAATGGCTTCTCCCAAATCATGTTCATACCTACCTTTTCTTACAAGAAATTCTATCAAGGCTTCCCCTTGTTCTTAGGATCCTGAGGATCCCTAAAAGCTGGCCTGATCCTAGTGTCTGGCTTACCAGCCTCACTGGCTGGTACTCGCCCCGTCTGCTGAGTTTTAGCCCCTATATATAGCTCCTATTGCCTTTGCTGCCCTATACTCGATGTGGCCCCAGGGCCTTTACACATACTGCTTCCTTTTCTTGAGCTACCTCCCTTTGTGTCTGTCTTCCCCAGACCCTCAGTTATGTTGTGCTTT